TATAATTTATTTTTAATAAAATAATTAATTTTTTTTATAACATAATTCTATTAATAAGACAATTCAAATTGCATGTTAATATTATACAAAATATTTCCTTAATTTCATTACATTTTTCACAGGTATTATTTCACAGGTAATAAATAGGTTATTATAAATCATATTAAAAGTTATTACATTCATATTATATTCCGTCAGTGGACGCAGTCTCACGAGACCCGCTAATTAGAATTGTTTACTTTTTTTAACTATAAAGAAATGAATAAATAGATATTTATTTCTATTTATTAAATATGTGTTTCACGTTCTACATATTTAAAATAATTTACTACATATTGTAACAAAAAACTGCTTTTCAAACATTTTAAAACAATATCGCTCTTGGATCACATTTGACCTTGCGTCCGTCGTGCGAGTATCACAACGTTCACTCCGAGGGCTCTAATCAGAAATTATATACATTCATATTAATTATATATTTGGATATAGCACGTATCGAGAGCTCCATTATTCATCTGTTGCCAGCGATTGTTGAGTGGCTTTCTTCTTCATATTTTCTATAATCTTCACAATTATTAATTGCCATTTATGTGGCTCATTCTTCATGTACCAGTCAATAACTGTGGCAAACATTTCTTTTTGTTTTTCAGTGCACTTCTTGCATTTAGTTTGATAAGCTTCGCTGAATATGCCTAAAACCAAAAAGGTATTTTTTGAAATTTATTTATTCTAGTAATTGATTTTGCTGATTAAAAAGTTTATAAAATCTAAATACGATAGAGAATTAATATAAAAGAAATTTTAAAAATTTTAGAAATCTTATTATTCAAGATATACAGGATTTATCGCAAGATTTCTGCCACTCACAGGTAAATAGGATCGAGACGAATACGAAAGTGTTCGTTCCTATACTATTTAGTGATATTAATTTTTGTAATAGTACTAATAAAAGCATGCCGAGAAAAGCATTTCAGCTGCTAATATAATCCGACTCAGTTTATCAAGCATTAGCTGCTAGTAAGTTGAAAGGTAAGAGAGCAAGTGCGCCATTCTCAGATCATATCTCGAGCAACTGTAATATTTCTCTCGGCGTACTATCATTAGTACAATTACAAAAATTAATGTCTCCATTATTATTGCGAGTATTTCTAACAGGGACTTTTGTGTTCATCTTGATCCCATTTCAATCTTCTTGTGAGCGGTAGAAGAAGCCTCGCGATACATCCTATGTGTATTATTAAAGAAAAGACTTTAAAAAATTGATGTTCATTTCAAGAATATGATTTTACATAAAAAATAGATAAAAAGTTAATTTTGTCCCATATTCTGACAAATCAATAATCTATTAAAAAATAATCAATATAGGAAAGCAATAAAAACATCTAGTTGAATGAATTCTCCGCAAACCTTTCTATTTCTGCTGTATTATTTTTATACAATAAAAATCGAGTTTATTTTATCAAATATTCAACAATGTTTAAATACATTATTATTAACTTTTGCAGAACTCTTTATAATTCTTAAAAATTACAGTACTAAATATTACAACGATATTATAGCAATATTTGAAGTATACAATATAATGAAAATTGCAGTAATTTGAAATTTTAATATTTTATTGGAAATATTGCAACAATATTGTGAAATATTGTAATTATAATATTCTATAAGAAATATTGTAATATATTGCTACAATATTATTCAAAAAATACGCGGCTCCGCCAGAGATGAATTTCTTATAAGAAGAAAACGCCAGGAGTTTTATAAAAAGGCGTATGCCAATCGAATTGCTGTAGATACAAGTCTCCTGGAGATTTCCAGCTCTTTTGGGTATGCTTTCTAAAATGTTTTTTGGTCATAACTTTATTTTAAAATATATCAAGCAATATTGCCAAGCAATAATATTTTAGCAATTAATACTAGATCAATTATTGAAATATTGCATGATGTTGCATCAATATATCTGTAATATTTCTTTAAATATTGCAACAAAATCGCAAAATATTGCAGCAACATTTTATTTTAGCGAATATAGGAATATTGCTACAGTATTGTAGCAATGTTTTACGAAATTGTAATATTAGGTGTAGTAAAAAGAAATTTTTGCATGAAATTGAATGGAAAAATAATGGATTTCTTTTTACTACACCTAATATTACTACTAAATAATGTTGTTATGTAATATTTTGTGCTGTAGAGACATATTTACAATTGTAATATATGTAATAGATTAATTTAAAATTTTCTAAAATATAAGGATATAAATAAAGAATCTTATTTGTTATTTCTTGCTTAGCTCATTATAAGAATTTCTTATTTGACATTGTAAATGATTTAATAACAATAAAAATCTCTATGTTATCATTAAAGCGCCTCTTGACGATATGACCAACGATAGTTCATCAACTTCACACATATTCGCTAAATATTAATTTACATTCAATATGGATAATTACGTATATCATATATGTATATGATATTTGCTCATGTTGAAATATGTGGAGACATTTTTATGGAGAAATCAATATTGTGTAGATCCCATCACAAAATTGTATAGATAAGGTCTGTTTTCTGTGGCTGAATTAGTGTACATTTTTGGAACTTGAAATGAAATAGGTATAAGTTTAATATTTGTTGAAAGTGAGAAAGAGAGTGCAGTCTACTGTAAAAACAGGAAGCAATACATTACTTGTTAGGGTCTTCTGTACTGGTGTCTGACATGGTGCTATTTCCATGAAACAATTGTAATATGAGTCTCGCATAGTCTTATTATTGAGAAGAGTATGATAGTCAAGATTATCGTATTTATCAGTATAATGTTCTTCTTCTGCAAGAATGCACATCAGTACAAATATATTTACAATAACGATTGATGCAATATGGTATAATCGAGCCATTTTGTTTGCACAGCTGTGTCACTTGAGAGACTAAAATGCCAGAGCGATGAACGGTTCGCTTTTATACGTTTTACTTAATAAAAAAAGTTGCGCAATAAACATATATGCAAAATATAAACGTTAAGCAACATAGATGCCACAAGGCTAACATAGATGCTTGAATATTAAATACGTAAATTAATATGTTTTAAGATATATTAAATTTTTTTAGTACAATGCATGTCATACATATGTATTTTTAAAATATGAGATGTTTATAACTTCCTGTTTCTAATGATTTAGTTAATTTAAAATAACTTTTTCATAGCAAAAATATCAATGAATTTTCAATTATGGACGACAGATAAAAAAGTAGTATATATAAAAAGTCATATTATGATATTTCTCTTTACACGCATTTTATCTATTTATTACTACAAATATATATACAGTATACAAATACTTTCCGGGAGAGACACAGTCAGACACAGTGAATCATTACATTCTTGTTGCTTGCTACGTTAAACAAAGAAATTCACTGTGTTACACAGTGTCTGACTATGTCCTTGCTAAAAAGCTCTCATAGTTCATAAATTATCAGTATTAATGAGAGCTTTTCAATTACGATACAAATTGTGACACGGTGTTAAGGTCTGAGCACAAGAATTGTCGTAACACTTAGACTTAAATTGTAAATAACGCACAAACTTTCACATATAACTTATTGTGTTTAAGAGAGGGCAATAAATCATATGTCATACGCCAAAACTTATGCGTTACTTACGTTTATAAACTGTAATGTCTATAAGACGTCTTT